TTTGGAAGTAGTTGTAACAAATTTTATGTTAAGCTTAGATAAATTCTTTTTAATTGTAGCTGGGATAAAATTGATAGGTTAATAATGTATATTGATTCATTGGATTTGCTGGAATGGTTCATTCTTTTATTTAGAAATATTTGATTCTTCTGTTTTGTGTTGAATATGAATTAGGGTATTGGAGGAGATTAAAATTATTTTCAATGTATTTCTCCTCATCATGTAAATATTGAGGGCTATAAATTCTAAGTATTCTCAAATAGAATCTGATAATTATTCAAAATTTTATTTTGATATTATGGTGATAAAAAAAATTTATGAGGTCATTTTTATTAGTTGATTTTCATTAGACACATTTATGTGATTTTCAGTACATCAAATATCAAGGAGAGTAAAATGTTATCTGTTTCTGTTTCGTAAGTAAATTCTATTGTATATTCAGTTTTGTTTAGGCTATCTACAAGTAATGTTATTTTGAGAGAGAGAGAGCATCATCAGTATATTGGAAATATATAGATTGTTTATGTAAAATACTTTGGAAAGGACCAAATTCAAGAAACTCTCAAAAAAAAAAAAAAAAAAAACAACCCAAAACACCATTAAGAAGCCAACCAGTCAGTAGTCCAAATTTTTGTTTTTAAAAATTGTAAAAAGTGAAATAACATTGGTTTGTGATGAGCCAGTAAATTTCCTCAAGGACACATGGCACAGTGGATAAAGACATTGGTTAGATCCAGTGACAGGACCTAAAGAGTGTGAGTTCAATACCTGGGTAAGGCAGTGGAGAACTTGGAGAGGGGAATTATCAGGAGATAACTGATAACTGACATTCATTAGACACGGCACATGGAACTAGAACAGTCTACCCCAGGGAGCGAAATAAAGTGTTCAGTTCTCCTGAAGAAGTCCGGAGTGTACAATGGCCAAAACGTTGTGAAAAATATGGCAACAAAGATGAGGATGATAGTCCAAACAATATAAATAGTGTACATAATACCTCATCTCAGAAATATAGACAGATACAGTAAATTTTTATGATTTTAGCTATTGGTAGGGAGAGATTTATTTTTGATTGTGTTAGATGCTTTACAAAAAATTTAAGTGATTGTGAACAGGGATGTTGATATAAAGTGATTTAAAATCTAAACTAGCCATGAGTTTGTCATATTTATTCCCTTACAAATAAAAGATGAAATGGTATGAAAATATCTTCCTTTTTTTTCTTTTTCTTTTCCTTTTTTTCTTTTTCTTTTCTTTTTTTTCTTTTTTCTTTTTTTCTTTTTTTTCTTTTTTTTTTTCTTTTTTTTTTTTTTTTTTTTTTTTTTTTTTCTTTTTTTTTTTTTTTTTTTTTCTTTTCTTTTTTTTTCTTTTTTTCTTTTCTTTTTTTTTTTTTTTTTTTTTTTTTTTTTTTTTTTTTTCTTTTTTTTTTCTTTTTTTTTTTTTTCTTTTTTTTTCTTTTTTTTCTTTTTCTTTTTCTTCTTTCTTTTTCTTTTAAATTTATTTTTGCTTTGTTTTAAGCATTCTGTTTTGGAATTATATAATTCTACTTATTTCAATATATTTATTTTGAATTCTGTATACGCACACATACACATTTCTAATGCTAGACAAACAGGTTACAATGTTAATAAAACATGTCCACTTTTACATCTACATACACTCTATCCCTGATATTGAGCACTTTTACCCATAAATAAAGCATATATTAAAACTATATATATATATATATATATATATATATATATATATATATATACACACACACACACACACAGTAATATTTACTTTTGATGCAGTGGACATAATTTTTAAATGTGTGACACTTGATATATAACTTACTTGGCAAACAGAAAAGTCCAATTTTTTTTTATATATAGTATTTTACCATTATTTTATTTCTTCTAATTTCACAAGCCCAAATATTGCACTTCCATTCTAAACAAAAGTAAGTAATATCAGTTTTTCATAGCAATATCAGTAATTTAAATTGTTCCCTCATTTACTGATACATTTAATCTTAAAACATCAGTTAATTTTTATTGTAAAACAAGTGATCTAGCTATGGTGCTTATACCATAATTATATGAAAGGTAATCTCTGTTAACCTTTCTTACAAAAAGGAGGGAGTTTTTTTGTTTTGTTTTTTTTTCAAAATCTTTTATAGAAGAGAGATGTTTTGTTTTTAGTAGACAAGTAATAATCACAAAAAAAAAAACATTGTTTTAAAAAAATACACTGGAGTTTAAATTTTTTTTAAATTTTTAGTAATGAGACGCTTTGTTCTAGAATGCTTGTAACCTAATTTAAGAGGTGGGGAGAATTTTTTAACTATTTAATAAAAGGAAGACAAAAAATAGGATATTGAATAGGAATGTCTTGGGTGGATTTTATTTCCAAAAAAGATGGTCTAGACTGACTATTTGAAACTCAAAGGTATTTGTTTGCCTTGGTAATCTCTAATTTTCAAAGATTTTCTTTATCATGTTTTGACATGTTATGTATTTTATATCCGTTGACATGTTTAATATGCACATGCACATTACTATTCTGATGTGAACCTTAATTCCCTTTGTCACAATATCTCGTGTTGAAATTATTTTTTTTTCTTAAGTTATTATCTCCCTTTCATAATAAAAAAACTTAATCTAATTTCTCTTGTTTTTTTTCTCATTCTTTTAAATACCACTTTTTTGTCTAGTTATCTCATTGGTTCATTTTGGTTACTATAAATAAAGCAATTTTTTTCTCATACCTTATTCTTTAGATGTTATTTTTTTTTTCATTCTAAGTGTCTTTTCTTTTGTCTCTTTATTCATTTCTTCATTTTGAACCTATTATTTCTTCCTATTTCTATCTCTCTGTTTATCACTTAAGACATATCAAACCCATATTTTCCTTATTCATTTCTCCATAAGTTTACTCAACACATATTCCATTCATCGGCTATTGCCCCTCCCTTCCTTTCATTCTTTGAGTTGTTGTGATATTCTTAATTTCTTTTCCCTTTTTCTCCATTTTATTTTTACCTAAATCTTTTGCTACCATCCAATTTTTCTTTCATGTTTTTATATTTTTCCTTTCCTGCATTGTTTTTTTGTTTGTTTACTTTTTGCTCACTAACTCTCCCTGTCTCCTCCCACATTTTTACTTGATATCACCTTTCTCTTCTCTTTTCTCCTCTTGTCTCTTTTCTCCTCTTGTCTCTTTTCTCCACCTTTCTTTTCCTTTATTGTCAGATATTTTAGTCTTTTTTTATTATTCACTCACATGATTGCAATCAAACAACAACACATGATTTTAAAGCTTGTGCACCTTAAAAGTGACTTGATTTGTACTTGAATCTAATGTAATAGCAGCAGATAAATATACTCTCTTGTAAATTATTATGGTAAAAAAAAAGACAAGTGATAAAAATGTCTGAGCCTGGTATTTTGCATTTCTGTTTGTTTTAAAGGATTAAAACCAAGATGATAATACTAGTTTGACTAAATGTGTTTATATTGGTATTAATTTTGGTATTATTTATAGGTTAAATATCTTGGTTCTCTGGTCTTGGTTGGCAGCTAGTCTAGAAGAAGGACAACCCTAAATTCAAAACCACAGTGAAGGCAATGGGAAATTACTCCACTATCTCTTCTAAGAAGTCATGGCAATTTAAAATCATTGAAAAAGGAAGATGAGGAGAACCATGATTGTTTATATTCAAAAGTGGTACTAAAGAAAATTGTAGGATATAATACTAAAGAGAGTGCATCTCTATACAATTACAAAGTTTGGTGATTGACATCCATTGTGCATTTTACTATTGCACTAGAAAAATAGTTAATCTGTATCTTCACACCTTTCCATAGTATAAATAGCAGGGTAGACTGAACTTTCTTGCCTTGGGTGGCAACCAGTCTAAGAGAAAGAAAACTTTGAACTCTAAACTGTAGAGAAGGCAACAGGAAATCATTCTACCATTTTTTTTCCTGAGAAGTCATGGTAGTTCATAGATAAAGTAAAGGACTTTGTGGAGAGCCATTATTACCTAAGTCCTGAAGGGTTGAAAAATTTTTTAATACTAACAAGGCTCCTAAGCCACTCTAGGTTGCTGATTGAGGTTTATAATATGAATGTAAGAATAAGGATTATATGTAGATGGAGGGTAGGTAAAGATTAGCCTTTGAAGAGGTTAAGATTGTAGCATTTGGGGAAGCATCCATGTGGGAGTCAGTTCCACATAGTTTTTTTTCCACAAAAACCACTACTAAGTGGAACTTTTCCTTACAATTAAAATATGTAGGAAGTGAAGGTGGTTCAACTCTGTGGACGTAGCATGGGGGGGGTTATTTGCTTTAAAAGTCTGAATTTTTTAAATTATATTTGCAATGACAGTAACGATAGAGTAGTGACATGATTGTGACTGTGTCTGTGGGGAAACTGGTTGCAAGGTGGAAAACTGTTACCCCTCCCCATCACAAGGCCTCATAAACAATTATGAACTTTAGTATAAAAATTAACATAAAACAGAAAAATCAAACAAAAGAAAAAGTTATTCAAAGTACAACATATTTAATTAGAGCTATTTTCAACTTACATAAAAAAGTTTGTCAAACATATTCTGTAGTTGTTGTTATTCTGTAGTGTAGCATAATGACATTTTTTTTTTGTGAGGCTTTATATGAACTTAGTTTTTATCTGTCTCTCCAGGTTAAAACAAATTTAAATGCAAATTTATATTTGGCCTTGTAAATAAATAAAATATTCAACTTGTCCCAGAAAGAACATTTTTGATTCGTTTTTATGGCTTATCAATCCTTTGCAGATTATTTAAAACCAGAAAATATTTTTAGACTGTAAGAATTTGGGAGGGAGGATAATAATGGTTTTTAGTGATACATACCTTTCCCACGTGTATTTGCACATAAGTGAATATAACAAACACTACAGGAGTTGGAACTCGGCTCTCTGATTAACAATTCTGAGTCATTATCCATCACACCACCTGCAAATATAAGCTTACTGCACCTGGTATTCCCAAGTGGTCACCCATCTAAGTACTGACTGGGATTGACATTGCTTAACTTCAGTGATCGTATGGGAAACATTGTTTCAATGTGATGTGGCCATAAGCCAGCCAGAAGTGCAAATAGAAAATGTCATATTCCAGTAATTCTATATAATTGTATATAATTGAAATGGCTATGATATAATTTTATGCACTATTATGTCTTAAATAGAAGAGAAATCTAGTTAAATTTTATTGCAATGCTTTGTTTTTACATTCTACAACGGTTAAGTAAGCAACATGGATCATAAAAAAAAATTAGTTTCTAATGAGATTTGACTCTGTTTAGTTACTGCTTTTAATAAAAGCTGGAGCTACATCTGTCACAACTTGGTGACACTTCTGGTAAATAGCCAATGAAATGAAGCATATTTTTTTGAGATCATTGTTTTGAAACTCATGACAAAGATGACAGTTTTAAACCTTAACTGAAACTATTTAATAAAGTAATTTTAAAAATCAATTATACTACCACAAGAGTTTGAAGATCTTAGCAATTCTAACCTATTTTTCAGTTAATGAATATTCAACATCCTACAAGTTAATGAAAATGATACAAAGAATTGTAGTCAATTGACATGTTAATGTGCAGAATAGCCATACTTTCACATTTCTTATATTTTCTCTAAAATCAGATATTTCTTAATTCATCAAAATGTTTTTATCAGTGTTGCATATGGTTTTTGTATCTTTGTTTTTTTTTTTTTTTTTTTTTTTTTTTTTTTACAAAAAATATCTACCTTGTGATTTTATTCACCTGTAGTTAGAAATATTAGGCACAGGTTCAAAAGTTTTCTTGAAAGGTCAAGTTTTTATAAAAGCTATTTTTTTTATACAATGCAAGCTTTTTACAAAAAAAAAGGTATTTAAGCTAATAAATCAAACCAAGTGACTTTTTCTATTTTGATTATTGAATTAAATTCTATTAAGCAAATACTTTATGCATTTAATATTTTTCATAACTTACAATACAATTTCTTTTTCACATCATCTATACTATTATTCTACATATGTGTATAGAGTACAAAAATCAAAATAATCAAAGCCCCCTCCCCACACACACTCACTGACTCTTTTCAGTTGGAATCAGTTATGCTTTGTGACCAAAGAACTGACATAATATTAAGCAGGGAAAACATTGGGGAGAAAAGAAATAAAGGAGTAGAAAAGTGGCAGAAAAAGTGTGAAGCAAGAAAAATATAAGGGGAAAAAAAAACTAGCGGAAAATGATATTTCTCTTTCTTTCTCTCTGTCTCTCTCTTTCTTTCTCTCTGTCTCTTTCTTTCTTTCTCTCTGTCTCTCTCTCTCTGTCTCTTTCTTTCTCTCTGTCTCTCTCTCTCTGTCTCTTTCTTTCTCTCTGCCTCTCTGTCTCTCTCTTTCTTTCTCTCTCTCTTTCTCTCTCTTTCTCTCTCTCTTTCTTTCTCTCTCTTTCTTTCTCTCTCTCTTTCTTTCTCTCTCTCTCTTTCTCTCTCTCTTTCTTTCTCTCTCTCTCTCTTTCTTTCTCTCTCTCTTTCTCTCTCTTTCTTTCTCTCTCTCTCTCTCTCTCTCTCTTTCTTTCTTTCTCTTTTCTCTCTCTTCTCTCTCTCTCTTTTCTTTCTCTCTTTCTCTTTCTCTCTTTATCTCTCTTTTCTCTTTCTCTCTTTATCTCTTTCTCTTTCTCTCTTTATCTCTTTCTCTTTCTCTCTTTATCTCTTTCTATCTATCTATCTCTCTCTCTCTCTCTCACTCTGTTTCTTTCTCTCTCTTTTCTTTTCTTTCTTTCAAGGTGCTAGAAATCCACTCCTAAACAGGAACGAGGGATAAACCTCTACTCTTGTTAAAAAGGCTGAAGAGGAGTGTGAACTGGGTGATAGGCAAATCTACTCCTATTATATGTTAGTTCAGTAGTACTGCTGATAAGATAGTATTTTTAGGAGTTACTCAAAGGTTCGAATCCCTGACTTACAAGCTTTTTTTTAATGCGTATGTGTTGATGTATGAGTATCTCTCTCTGTTTATCGCTTTCTGCAATGGTGTCAAGTGGTGAAATCAAAAATCCTATCATAGCCATCCATCCATCCCCCACCTCATCAGGCCCTGAATCAACAAACATACTTGCCTTTAGAACTTTTTTTTTTGCTTTCTAATGAAGAGAAAAAATTATAAATCAAGATTTAAAGATATGAAATTGAAACAAAAACAGATATTCTTTGAAAAATAAAATTGTTTGAGATTTTTAAAGATTTATGTTAGTAATAGGATAATCTCCTTAAGAGTTACTCTAAGATTTTGATCCTTGACTATCAGACAGATAATGCCAGCTGAGAGAGAAGCATTTACCCCCAGCACTCTTTATATAGAGGCAACCAATCCAGGACTGGGAAGAAATTACAGTGAAACCATGATGTTTACCCCAAAATCAAGAAGCAAAACTTCTCCATGAGTCAAGCTATGGAGTTGAAACCAAAAGATATTCTTTGAAAAACAGAATTAAATTCATTTGAGATTATTCAAGATTATTTTTGATAATTCAGCTAGAAATCTGTTTGGCTGAGTCATGCTATTAGAAGTATTTCCTTTCAACCTGATCAGGCTGGAATTTTGGGGGCCTTGTAATCAATTTGTTTAGTTTCTAGCTACATTAAATTTTTTTTCTTGGTGTAACATTCTTATGACCATTTTCATTGAAATTTATGTAAGTCAATGTCTTAGACCATGAAGTTATGACTATAAAAAGTAGTAAGTTTTTTTTTTTGTTTTTTGTTTTTTTTAAGCATTTCACCCCAAGCAAGGCGGAAAGCCACTAGGACACAAGGGGTTACAGAAGATTTGGAGCAAGATCAGATAGGAGTAATAGAGGAAAGGATGAGGAGAAGGATAGTGGATAGATCAAGGCAACTGGAGATGTCAATTGACATTACATTTGAATAGTTGGAGATTATAGCTCTCAGGGAAACTGGAATAGGGAAGGGAGTTCCACAGGCGAGAGGTGTGAGACATGAAGCTATTGGAGTAGAAGAGACGGCTACATTTAGTAGTTTCGACAGTGAAAGGGTGAGAGTGGGATGCCAGCCTCGTAGGGCGCTTGAATTCATGAAGTCTGGGAACCAGCGAATGCAGCTCCTCGGAGCAATTACCATGAAAGTATTTGTAAAAAAGACAGAGAGAGATGACGGCGCATTTGTGAGAGAGCGACTGTAGGCGAGATGCCAGAACAGGGCCAATTATATTGCATATCTGAAAGTTAAAATGATTCAAGATTATTTTATTCTTGATGGTTCATGCCATGACTTTAAACCAACTAAAGTCAAGTATGGATGACATATTCTTAGAGATTTTTGTTGCTTTGAAACTTGACAGATTACACAGGCTCAGCTGATTAGCAGATCCCTGGAGTCACTACTAATGAATTTGTACATTTAAAATTTATGAAAAATAATTATGATATATTAAAACGTTTTATTTCAACCTTTAAAAACAGAATTTAATAACTAGAATCTTATGCTGTGACCAACTTTATGTAACACTTGATCATGGTTTTTCAAGCTGTTTAAAGAATTTGTTTTTCACTTGTGGCATTTTTTTTATATTTTTCACTTGTGCTATTTTTACCAGTGACATTATTACCATTCACTGCATGCCCCCCCCCTTTCCACACAATGTAAATTCTAAATTAATTTACAGAAGTATGGTGGATAGTCAGGTGTGAGTGAGTGCAAATGTGAATATATATATATATATATATATATATATATATATATATGTGTGTGTGTATGTTTGGTTAAATAATCTAGACATATTATGTCTATTTATTTTTAGTTTAATCCTCTCAAATTCATGGATCAATTTCTTAGTGCTGTTACAAAGCTGAGTAAGAAAGATACCATCAGTTTGGTTATTTCTTTTATTTTTCCAAGTACTTTCAATCTCATCCAAGATGAATTACATTATGTTTTGTCTTAGCAATTCATTCCTGAAGATGATCTTGGATGAGATTGAAAGTACTTGGAAAAATAAAAGAAATAACCAAAATTTTAATGTCTTACTCAGTTTTGTAACAGTATAAAAATTGATCTGTGAATTTGAGAGGATTGAAATAAAATGAAATAAAAATAGACATAATATATATATATATATATATATATATATATATATATATATATATATATATATTTTGTTTTGTGTATTTAGGCAGCAATCCTTTTTTTATGCACATTTCATTGAATACGACAGACAAGGTGCTTTGATTTAGTTTTTTATACAATTTCTCATGCAATCTAATAATTTTTTTTCTTTTCAGATGATAAATTATATAAAAACTGTCCAAATGTTCTTTTTTTCTGAACGCTTTCGACTATACATTTAGCCATTTTCAAGAATTAAATGTTTTAACTGATAAATAAGAAATAGTTTGTTGGATGTATGTTTTTATATAATGTTTTCATTTTTCAAAACACGGTCAAGATTATGTTCATAGTTGATATTATTGAGTGCTGTTTTTTTTGTTTTTATTAATAAGGCTTTCATTATTTTTAGCCTTTGAGAAGATACAGGTAAAGGGTGAGAGAAGAGTAGAGACATGTCATAATGGATAATCTTAGTCCTGTTTGATGGGATAAGGAAGAGAATAAGAAGATACAGGTAAAAGGTGAGAGAGGAGTAGAGACATGTTATAATGGATAATCTTAGTCCTGTTTGGTGGGATAAGGAAGAGAACAAGAAGATACAGGTAAAGGGTGAGAGAGGAGTAGAGACGTGTTATAATGGATAATCTTAGTCCTGTTTGATGGGATAAGGAAGAGAATAAGAAGATACAGGTAAAGGGTGAGAGAAGAGTAGAGACATGTTATAATGGATAATCTTAGTCCTGTTTGATGGGATAAGGAAGAGAATAAGAAGATACAGGTAAAGGGTGAGAGAAGAGTAGAGACGTGTTATAATGGATAATCTTAGTTTTGTTTGTATGAGATAGTGCTGAAAAGTTCTTGACCTGACCACATCCCAAAATCTGACCAAATATTTTTTCCTTTTTTCATTTCAGGTCTTCTTGACCATGCAAAAAAGCTTTTTAGCTCCCCACCACC